CGTTCCCCCCCCTCCTGTCCCCTTGTCGCCCCTCCAGGTACCCGCCGCAGGTCATGGGGAAGGCGCTGGAAATGGCCGAAGACATCCAAGTGACCGGCGCGCCTGTCCGCACCACGAGAGATGAACTGGTTGCCAAGGTGAAGAAAAGAGGCATATCAAGTAGCAATGGTTAGCAGATCATAGCTGTGACAATACATAGGAGTCTAGAAAATGCTTGTTTCTGAATGTTGTTCTTCGTGTGCCTCGGGCGTAGCCGAAATCATTGACTTCCAAAGCCTCCCTGTCAATCGTTTCCCCTCTCTGAGCTATGTTTTCCCCCCTCGTAGAATACCTGTAAAATAGATGCGATGCGTAAGCGTTCCCTCGGTAATGTTGAGCTCTCATTTCGAATTCTGATGACCACGACCGGTGCTCATCAAGCTGATTATTTTTTTAATGCGATGTGGGCTGTCGTACTCCAGCTTAAACGTGTCTTACTTTGCCTTTCACTCTAGTCGGACGTTGTTGCTTTGTGAGAAACTTGGTTTCTTAAAGAAATTCTTAAAGTGGCATTTTAAAAGACGTTTTTTATGATACTAGTAGACAAAATACACCTTTTTTTTTTTTTAAGGTCAGATGGTCTATTTAATGCACTTTGGTCATTTTTGGTTTGGACTTTAAGAATAGAAATACGTACTGACCTACGGGTCCCAAGCCAAAACCTGAAATCTTGCACCTGAGTGTTTTTTATGTTTTTGTCAAAAAATACTAAAATATTCTGAAATCGTAGGTTAATGCTTGAAATTCCAGTTCAAGGTGTATTCCTGATATGTACCTTTGAAATTCCCAGAGATCGTTGGTAGAAGTTTTTAGCAAGTAGGTAAATTGTCTCTAGATGGATGTTTCACAGCACAGAAATTACAGAGGGTGACATACTTCACTTGTTTTGCAGAAGGGGTAGAGGAGCCTGCCAAGAAGCGAGCTGTTGAGAAAAGCAAAGATTCTAAGGATGCTGGAAAGGATGTGAATATGTACCTTTGAAATTCCCAGAGATCGTTGGTAGAAGTTTTTAGCAAGTAGGTAAATTGTCTCTAGATGGATGTTTCACAGCACAGAAATTACAGAGGGTGACATACTTCACTTGTTTTGCAGAAGGGGTAGAGGAGCCTGCCAAGAAGCGAGCTGTTGAGAAAAGCAAAGATTCTAAGGATGCTGGAAAGGATGTGAAAACAACCAAGGCAGAAGCAGGGAAGCAAACAGAGAGTGCATTGCCAAAAAAGCAGGAAAAAGGTACTAGCAAAGATCCAGAAAGCTCTCAGTCAACTTGCAGTTCAAATCAAGAAACGGCCACAGCGTCAGACGTAGAAACTGAAGGAAAACCTCCTAATGCTGAAAATACCACTGAGCAAAATCCATCTTCATCTGAAAAGGAGTCGGGAGAGAAGCCTTGCTCGGATTCGCCTAAGGAAAGCAAACGTGAAAATGTGCCGTCGCCTGAAAAGAAAGCTACAGTAAGTGCAGTGCCACCGGCTGCCAAGAGCACCCCACAGGCAGTGGCAGTGGCACCGGCT